ATCATCCTCTTTATGCATGTTGTCTTACTCCAAGCTGTATAGGCTGAAAGCCTACTACCAATTAAGCATATTAGGTGATGTGCATCTCTGTAATGAGAAGGGGTGTGGTCTAATGACATCAACACCCTATATCAGGTGTGCATAATTATTAGGCAACTTCTTTCCTTTGGCAAAATGGGTCAAAAGAAGGACTTGACAGGCTCAGAAAAGTCAAAAATAGTGAGATATCTTGCAGAGGGATGCAGCACTCTTAAAATTGCAAAGCTTCTGAAGCGTGATCATCGAACAATCAAGCATTTCATTCAAAATAGTCAACAGGGTCGCAAGAAGCGTGTGGAAAAACCAAGGCGCAAAATAACTGCCCATGAACTGAGAAAAGTCAAACGTGCAGCTGCCACGATGCCACTTGCCACCAGTTTGGCCATATTTCAGAGCTGCAACATCACTGGAGTGCCCCAAAGCACAAGGTGTGCAATACTCAGAGACATGGCCAAGGTAAGAAAGGCTGAAAGACGACCACCACTGAACAAGACACACAAGCTGAAACGCCAAGACTGGGCCAAGAAATATCTCAAGACTGATTTTTCTAAGGTTTTATGGACTGATGAAATGAGAGTGAGTCTTGATGGACCAGATGGATGGGCCCGTGGCTGGATTGGTAAAGGGCAGAGAGCTCCAGTCCCACTCAGACGCCAGCAAGGTGGAGGTGGAGTACTGGTTTGGGCTGGTATCATCAAAGATGAGCTTGTGGGGCCTTTTCGGGTTGAGGATGGAGTCAAGCTCAACTCCCAGTCCTACTGCCAGTTCCTGGAAGACACCTTCTTCAAGCAGTGGTACAGGAAGAAGTCTGCATCCTTCAAGAAAACATGATTTTCATGCAGGACAATGCTCCATCACACGCGTCCAAGTACTCCACAGCGTGGCTGGCAAGAAAGGGTATAAAAGAAGAAAATCTAATGACATGGCCTCCTTGTTCACCTGATCTGAACCCCATTGAGAACCTGTGGTCCATCATCAAATGTGAGATTTACAAGGAGGGAAAAACAGTACACCTCTCTGAACAGTGTCTGGGAGGCTGTGGTTGCTGTCATTCTGTGCGCCGTGAAGGGAAACCCATATAAAGTGTTACACAGAAACCTCGGCATTGGCAGGGATGGTCCAGCACCGCAATCCGTCAGCCCAGGGCTCAGCGTTCACAGACATTGCTCCATTTGTGCTGATATTACTCCCGGGGGGATTTGCTGGGAACGCTGCTTCACTTAGTGGCGGCAGAGCTGGGGCCTCCATGCTGCATCAATATTCATTACCCGGAGCTAATGGCTCCTCTTACATGGAGGCCTCGCAAGGCAGAGGGAGCTAACAAAATCATGAGGGGGTTCACAAATGCTGGGGTGACCCCGGTGACAGTGCAGGTATGTATTGATTATTATTTAGGCTTTTAGCTTTTGTACAGAAAGGTGCTTTATGTTCTCTGTGTTAGGAGAGCGTTTATTGTACATCGCTGTGGAATATGTTGGTGCTATATAAATAATTGTCTAAAGTGGGAACAGTACGTGCCACCTCCTTCCAACACCTGGGGGTTTATTTACTAAGCCATTGTGGGAGAGATGAATTGCAATGTTATCAGTTAGGCAGATTAGTAGAGATCGCTGTGATAAACTCAATATTAAACCCGAGTAATTCGCTAAAGCGAGAATTCAAAAGAAATTTTTACATTTAACCCCAGAGGTGCCGAACTGGAAACACATCTGAGTATTTTGACCCTAAATTTTTAATTCTTTGAGGTTTTTTTAGATTTTATTTCAGGCTGATACTGTGTGACGTGACAGAGTGTGACAGAACGCAGCTGGCCTCTGCCGTCCCCTTTTCCTTCTTCCTGAGCCTGACCACGAACAGGCTAACCCAGCTGAAGCGCTGGCTACGGGGCGGAGCGCTGCTGGCCTCTGCTCACCAAGCATGGATGGCTCCATAAGTGACGTCCACATACAGTCTCTCAGTGTATACAGGAATAGTGTGCTATATACAGTCTCTCAGTGTATACAGGAATAGTGTGCCATATACAGTCTTTCAGTGTATACAGGAATAGTGTGCTATATACAGTCTCTCATTGTATACAGGAATAGTGTGCTATATACAGTCTCTCATTGTATACAGGAATAGTACGCTATATACAGTCTCTCAGTGTACACAGGAATAGTGTGCTATACACCGTCTCTCATTGTATAAAATAATAATGTGCTATATACAGTCTCTCAGTGTATACAGGAATCATGTGCTATATATAGTCTCTCAGTGTATACAGTAATAATGTGCTACATACCGTCTCTCATTGTATACAGGAATAGTGTGCTATATACAGTCTCTCAGTGTACACAGGAATCATGTGCTATATACAGTCTCAGTGTATACAGGAATAATGTGCTATATACAGTCTCTCAGTGTACACAGGAATAATGTGCTACATACAGTCTCAGTGTATACAGGAATAATGTGCTACATACAGTCTCTCAGTGTATACAGGAATAATGTGCTACATACAGTCTCTCAGTGTATACAGGAATAATGTGCTACATACAGTCTCTCAGTGTATACAGTAATGTGCTACATACAGTCTCTCAGTGTATACAGGAATAATGTGCTACATACAGTCTCTCATTGTAATAATGTCTCTCAGTGTACTAATGTGCTACATACAGTCTCTCAGTGTATACAGGAATAATGTGCTACATACAGTCTCTCAGTGTATACAGGAATAATGTGCTATATACAGTCTCTCAGTGTACACAGGAATAATGTGCTACATACAGTCTCTCAGTGTATACAGGAATAATGTGCTACATACAGTCTCTCAGTGTATACAGGAATAATGTGCTACATACAGTCTCTCAGTGTATACAGGAATAATGTGCTACATACAGTCTCTCATTGTATACAGGAATAGTGTGCTATATACAGTCTCTCAGTGTACACAGGAATAATGTGCTACATACAGTCTCTCAGTGTATACAGGAATAATGTGCTACATACAGTCTCTCAGTGTATACAGGAATAATGTGCTATATACAGTCTCTCAGTGTATACAGGAATAATGTGCTATATACAGTCTCTCAGTGTACACAGGAATCATGTGCTATATAAAGTCTCTCAGTGTATACAGGAATAATGTGCTATATACAGTACAGTATACACAGCCATATACTGCGATAATATTACATATATTCTCTGTGGTGTGAAGCTGTTCAGATTACATGTAAGAAGACGGTAACGTTCTGTCGAGGTGAGTTCACGCTGTGCGCAGGACGCAAGGATTGGTTTCCTGCTTCCATTACCTTCCTTGACCTAACACGGGTGTAATGCTTCCCACCCAAAAAGAAAACAGCCAGCCTGTGAAGGACTGGGCAGAACACAGCTTCTAATTTTAGAAATAAACCTCTTTCATTTTCAAACAATAAACAGAAATTCCTATAGATTCAGGAATCTTTCCAGAGCCCCCGGCCGCCCCTGGCTGCACAGACTGGATGGTGAAACCTGGCTCTACGGAGGGTTCAGGGAATATCCCAAATTACACAGCGGACGTCATTCAAATCACTAAACAGCTCTTCACCTCAATCACACTAGCACATAGCTCCTGCTTGGGGCTTAACGTTTCATCTCGGGTTATACACCAGTACCACAGGTATCACAGAGCTCCACAGCAATAAAACTCCCAATAATATGCACTGTATGGGGGTATCACAGAGCTCCACAGCAATAAAACTCCCAATAATGTGCAGTGTGTATGAGTGTATCACAGAGCTCCACAACTATAGACCTCACAGTAATGTGCACTGTATGAGGGTATCACAGAGCTCAACAGCAATAAAACTCCCAATAATATGCAGTGTATGGGGGTATCACAGAGCTCCACAGCAATAAATCTCCCAATAATATGCAGTGTATGAGGGTATCACAGAGCTCCACAGCAATAAAACTCCCAATAATATGCAGTGTATGGGGGTATCACAGAGCTCCACAGCAATAAATCTCCCAATAATATGCAGTGTATGGGGGTATCACAGAGCTCCACAGCAATAAAACTCCCAATAATATGCACTGTATGGTGTTATCACAGAGCTCCACAGCAATAAAACTCCCAATAATATGCACTGTATGGGGGTATCACAGAGCTCCACAGCAATAAAACTCCCAATAATATGCAGTGTATGAGGGTATCACAGAGCTCCACAGCAAT